CGCACCGGCCGCCCTTCCCAGTCTCCCACGCAGGTAAAGTCCCAAGCGGCTCCTCCTTCAGCTCCTCGCACAGTTATCCTCTCCCACCTACCTCTCCTTCCCTCCATTCTCCCTCACCTAGCTCTCCTATTTCTGTCTTAATCTTCATTCATTTTTATTTTCCTAATTGTTGTTTAACTGTTATCATCTCTCTCTTTCGAATCTATTTGTGCTGAGCAGTTTAATCCACATCAAATCTTTTCCTGAGAATTCGTAAAAAATGGTTGAACAAATCTATCAAGTCTGAAAGCTTCTTACAAACAATTTCAATCACTTCCTGTTATATTACTCGGGTGTCTTAACTGAGCACACACACTCCTTCCGGCTATTCAAAGAGTTATTTGATATATGACTTTTCTAATTAACATTAATTGGAGTTACATAGAAGACTAAGTCTAAGAATAACTGCAAATTATTTTCTGTCTGTCTCTTTCTGTATTTTATCTTATTTTGTCTGCTTCCTGTCTGCTGGTTTACTGCTCTGTTTTGCCTATTTGTTTGCCTGCTTGTATCTGCCTGTCTATCTGCCTCTCGCTCAAAGGCCACTTCGATCATGGGCAGTGAGGCAGCAACTGCTTTTGGTAGAGGTTTTTTGCCGCATGGCTGAAACTGGGTTTCTGTTCATTGTTGTTATTGTATAGGTTAAGGACTGTCAACGTTTTTATTATTATTATTATTATTATTATTATTATTATTATTATTATTATTATTATTATTATTATTATTATTAATTTTAGTGAGTGTATGTGTGTGTGTGTGTATTTATACTATTAGTATTTACTATTTTTGTCTGCAGAATCGAGCTATTTAGCTCTAGGACCCCGCCTTTCTAACTAATTTATTTTCTCCTCTATTATGTCTACTACATATTTTTCTCTCTAACACACGAACACACACATCCACAGGAAAGCAGCCTACAGTAGCTGTCTAACTCACAGGTACCCATTTTCTGCTAGGTGAACAGGGAATTAGGGTTAAAGGAACTGCCAACTTGTGTTCGCCTCGGCCGGGATTCGAAACCGGACCACGACCCCCGAGCGCTGTTCACTCTCTGCCGCGAGACCCCTGCAGTGTGTGTGTGTGTGTGTGTGTGTGTGTGTGTGTGTGTGTGTGTGTGTGTGTGTGTGTGTGTGTGTGTGTGTGTGTGTGTGTGTGTGTGTGTGTGTGTGTGCTTGCGCTCACATCACCTAATCACATCTCAGCTCAATTTCATGTAATTAAAACAGTATTCAATAAGATAATAATGACAATTACATAAATAATATTTCAGTATGTTTGTTTGTGGATACTTTAGTGTCCTCTTAAAAAATCTTTGTTTATGAGATTAATTTTTTTTAAGATCAAAAAGCAGATCAGTAAACTAATTACTTCCCAAAGTTACACTAAATATCTCCCTAAGGAACGGAGGAAAGTAAATAAGAACTATGTACAAACACAGTTATATAAAACGATAAAGATTTAAATACAACAAAATACAACTAGCAAATTCAGTCAATGATATTCATACAAATTGAACATAAAGTTTAAAATTATCAGGAAATTAACATATAATAAATCCTGTTCAGTAAACCATGTCGGTACGTTACAGCTTAGTCTGTATAACTATCTGCAGTTGTATAAATGTCCTTAATGATCCTGGGGTTATTGATCGCATTCCCAACACAAGCTGCAGTTGTGACCACTGTCGCCGGCCAAAGTTCGCGTGTTATGCCTGGTAATACCTCCACGTGTTCGCTCACTCTGGAGAGAAACGGCATTTCATTAAAATATTCGGTTAACAGAGAAATGAGATTCAATTAATATTACAGGTTAACGTCAGTGGGCACGAATACTTATTAACGTGTCTGCTACCTTATACGTAAATAAGGCTTTATTATATTATATATAATATACAATGCATAGGACACACTCATTAAGGATAGGAGTAAAATATGCTTTGAACTTGATATAAAAATAATACAAACCTAAAGTAAATATAAGCCTAAAGCAGCTGTCTAACTCCCAGGTACCTATTTACTGCTAGGTGAACGGGGATATCAGGGTGAAAGAAAATCTGCCAATTTATTTCCGCCTCCGCTGGGAATCGAACCCGAGCCATTAGGACTACGACTCTCAAGTGCTGTCCACTTAGCCAGCGAGGTGTGTGTATGAAAATATTAACTCACTATTTTGAAAGCACGAGGAAACGAAGGCTATATATTTTGATCCCAACACTTTTCACTGCTGAAGAGGATTCCGGATTGGGATAGAAATATACAGTCTACGTTTCCTCTTGTATTAAAAAATAGTGGGTTATAATTTTCATTGATGAGTGCACTATTGCACCATAGAACAAGTTGGTATGATTATTTGGGTTGTAGAGTAAGCTAACATGATCACGCATTATTTACAGTAAGCTGGTATGTTCATTTGGGCTGTAGAATAAGCTGTCATGTTAATTCGGATCTTAGAGTAAGCACTCGGGGCAAAGAGTAAGTTGGTAATTTCACTATTGATAACAGCTTGTACTGAACAAAAAAATGCAAAATTCGTTGGCTTTATTGATTTCTTTATCCCTGTGTAAGTGTCCCCAACTCCACACAGGGACCAATCAGCACGCATACACGCAAGTACTCACACGCAAATGTACACACACACACACAGTCCTTCATAAACTACACTAACAAAAGCCTTGCGGCTGGCCAACAAAAGGGAAAGGAAAATAATGAAATCTGCCTTTCCCCCTCATCCCATAGTCCATCCTCCCTCCCTTACTCCCTTTTCCAGGAGAATATCGACGAAATGAATGTAGGAGAATGATGCCGAAATTAGGAATATTCACAGAGGAGCTGGGCATGTCACGGCCTCGATTCTGTTTCCGAGGGGTCTGAGTTACGATTCCAGACCAACTGTTCTTCTGGCCCTAACATGTGTCCGAACTCCTGGTCAGAAAGAGAGGTGGTCCACAGAACGCCTCAAGACCTTACACTGATTTATAGATGAGAGAATTTTTTCCCCAGCCGAGAGTGGTGATCGCGGGACTCGTCAAGTGTGAGAGCGCGAAGGTATGATGACAGAAAAAAAAGGGAACAGAAACCAGTTTTCGCATTAAGGGACTGGAAGCGGAAGCCAGCGTCAGGAGGGCCCCGAGGCAGGAAGCTAAACATAAAGGCGATAAGTCCAGTGTTGCCAGCCACCACCCACCGCCCATCCGTCAGTCACTAGTGGCCGCACCGTAGAGTTGGTAGCACACAAGAGTGATGCTACTGTTATTAATACCTTTAGCCTCCTCCGCTTATTTATATCGTACGTAATCTGCACCAGATTTGGGAACGATGGTATGCAAGACCTGGAGGCTGAGACTAGTACTGTACTGGTATTTTTATCATTCGTAATATAATTATGTCATTATACCTACAAGGACTTTTGAGGTTAATTAAGCGGTAATACTTCAGTGTCCGGTGAACGGGGCGGGGCACGGGGCGGTAACGGGATTCAATTATGCTCTATTACGTACCGACGGACAAGTTAGGACACGGCTCTTAATGATGGTTTTATGGCTCTGGCTTACGACTCATTTGCAATTAAAATATCGTCATAAATGTCAATGGTAGAGCTGCAAAAAATAGCAAGTTATGCGGCGAAATGCGAGCAGCAGAGGAGCACACGAATGCATGCCGGAACCCATTACGCCATTATCATTCCACGCTCTACGCCATCCCGTGTACTGCTGGCCAATACAACCCACGTTCCCTCCTCTCACCCCTTTCCCCCGCCCCCACACACAGCAGGACACTACGATGGCATAACCAAAGCCAAGCGACGAGCCGTGAATCGGAAAGTGCTTCCACACAGATATTCACACATAAGGTGGCCGATATTATTATAAGAAAAAAATGAGATCCATCTCAAGTCGCAGCTTGCAAAGTGCAGCCAGATTATAAACAAATAATCGCATTGAAAGGAACGAAACGAAATTAGTATATAAAAAAGCCTATTTAATAGAGTTTGCGAGAAACCTAAAACAGGGAAGATAGGGCAATGATCTCTGTATTACAGAAGAAAATATGTATATAAACATGTGGTATATATTCGAGAATAACCCTGACTCGCTAATCAATTACCACGAGGAAATAGAGCTGCAAAATTTCGCAATTAACGTGTGTGAAAAAAATAAAAGAAAACGAGATAATACTTTTATTATTTTTTTTTTTGCTGGTAGCAAGCAAGAACTTCATGCTTGTGGTCGTCCTCAACCCCCCACTGAGCCAGACCAGCTCCTCGACCATCTCCCTCCCTGACACACACATGCTTATTGACACCCCTGCTATTCACACACTCATTGACACCCCAAGAAACACTAAATGACACCCTATCCGACTCCCACTCATCGACAACCTGGGACACACTCTTTGATACTCTAAGGTGACACTTATCAACCTAAGGGTAAACACCCTAAGTCACGTTTATTGACAGCCTGCCAAACACACTCATGGTCACCCTAAGACACCCTCAGCTCGGGGGCCTGACCCACTGACGACCTTGATCTCTAACCTGTCATCCTAATAGAACGTCGCATTTTGACGTATACTCTACCTAAGGCCAGAAATTGTCTTGCTAGAAAAGGGTAGAGGTTCGCAAAATTGACATACTCTCCCGTTTTCTGTTTTGAATCCTCGGGTTGGTTAGGATAAGTGCACTTTAGTATAACAGTTTCTTGGTGTTGGGAAATCTTAGAAGGACGGGTTGGGGTCCCACCACAATGGAGGAGATGGTGAATAGGGGAAGACATGATAACTAGATTTATATACGATTCTGATGGGAATTTGAAAGTAGATAAACTGGGAGGTATTCCTAGGAGAGGGTCGTGCTCGCGTACTTGCCTGCCAAGATGACTGTGTTCCTGCCCGCCTGCCTTGCGAGCCTGGTCTGCGTACCTGCCGTCCGTCATTAGAAAAGTCTAACTTTTGTCTGCCTGCCGC